ACATTTGCCTCATTACATAATTCATCACAACAAAAAGCCTCAAATGCGATCCCTAGAGAGACGCTCAAATCGTCATAATCAGCAAAGCCAAGGCTCAATGGAGTTGAAAGGGCGGCCAACATTCTAAATACAAACTAAAGGAGGGCAGCATGCAAGAGCGAGAGGGAGATAAATCCTTCTGTCCACTTAATTAAAATTTAATTGTAAAGCACAAAAAAAACAACAACAACAGTTACAACGGCAACTTTGAGTCAAAGAGCATTTAATGATAGCCAGCGTTGCTGCTGTTTTCCGCCAGTGGGCGCTTCACAAATACACACACACACACACATAGTCGTATACACATTCAATTTGTATGCACCGCACAAAGCAACAAAGGCAGCATCAGCACGCACACACACACACACACACACACAATACAAAACATCAAAGCGCAAGAGCCTGCAGAGGGCCACTCCAAACTCCGCATCAACTCTGCAACTGGGCGAATTCTCGAATTCGCCAGCCATTCTAAGCAAGCCTCAAAAGTAGCAAAAGTGTATCCTGGCGCCCTCTGGCGGCGGTTGAGTCACAACAAATGCGCATTTAAATGTCAATGATTTTAATGGGCGGACGCGGACGCGTAAAATTCTTGAGCCAGTTTTGTTTATTACGTTTTGACGTTCGTCAACCCGCACAGGACTAAAACCAAACCAACCCACAAGGCCCCCGCTGAAATCGAGCCACAACACACAGGACACGCCGTGCGCCAGCTGTGGCAGTTGCTTACAGTATTTGTTTCTGCTGCGTTTGTAAGGTCATGGAACTTGTCTGCATTGACTTTGCGGTTGCGGGGGCAGGTGAGCTGTGCCGTGCGCCACCACGACTGCCGGGCAAAGTTTTTCATTTTTCATTGCGCCGCCGCCTCGCTGCGATCCCCCCGCTCAGCGCCGACAACTCTGCCCTCAGTCGACAAACTGTTTTCATTTTGCGGCGTTCTACGCGCTTTTTGATGCCGCCGACGACGTTGAGCCAACAAGTCAAACAGTTGCCTGTCCCCTGCCCCCCGCCCACCTTCTTCCCGCCCACTCGCCCACAAATGATGCAGCTACTCCTCCCGGTGCACTTTTGTTCCTTTGGCTGTGAGTTTTTCAATTGATTTTCGCGGTTTTGCTTGTGCAGAAGCCAAGGCCAACTCCAGCTATATACATCTTCTTCAATTTTTTTCTCTCTTTTTGTTGCCCTGGGGGGTAGGGGGTGCTGTTGCACCTGTGCGTCTGTGAGTCTGTTGTTGCTGTTGTTGTTGCTCCTGTTGCTGATGCTTCAACGCTTCTTTGTGTGCAGCGATCCATAGAAAAGTTTAAGTGCTCTGTGGTTTGCAAGTTTTTTGCCGTTTCGTGCCGTTTCGTTTCGTTTCAATTCGTTTCGTTTCATTCCATGCCCCAAACATTCAGGCAGCCGTTTTGTACGAAGGCCCTTTTGTACAGACGTTTTGATTGATTGGCTCCATTGGAGCAGGCGATAAGTTATCGATTAGCGCAAGTCTATGAATAGATTCGCCAGCCAAAGTGAATGCTCTTGATTATAGTCTAATTGCTCATCACGGCTTTCTTTATCAACCACTTCACAGTCTCTGCTTTGTCTGGGGTCAACTGTACCTGTAAAATAGTTGAGAAGTGGTTTCTTTTTTTGATAGCGCCTTTCAAGTTCAAAGCAAAAGTTTAAGTGCAACATTTAAAAATTGCTCTGTTTTCCTTATTTACTGTTAGTCTTTTAGTGTTTACGTTTCGCAACACTGTTATCGCATTTGCACATGAACGGGTGTCAACTGTACCTTCAAAATGTTTGAGAAGTGCTTCTTTTTTGGATAGCCCCTTTCAAGTTCATAATGAAACTTGAAAGTTTTATAATTGCTCTGAAGGCAACACTTAACATAGTAGCTTATCGATATATATATTTACTGTTAGTCGCCCAGTGTTTACATTTCGCAACACTGTTATCGCATTTGCACATGAACGGATGTCAACTGTACCCAGTTTATAAAGCAAACATCACTCGCTACCTGTTGTATGTCTCTGTCTTGTATGTTTGTTTGTCACTCGTTTTCGCTGGCTGCGCCTGCGCCTTGTTTGTTTAATTAAAACAGCCAAGTTGTAGTTGTCGCTTGTCGCTTGTCGCTGCCTGCCTGGCTACCAACTTTGGTCACAGCTTCCGCCAGCGTCAGCATTGCTGATGCTGATGCTGCTGATGATGGCTGGCCACGGCTCGTTCCGGAGCTGGCCTCTTTACTGCATTGAAGCGCAGCCATTCACCAATTTCCAACCGCTTTGGCACGCACGCACGCATATCGCCGGCGATCTCTGCAACGATCTCTCCAGCAGAGTCTCTCTTCCAGCTCTTTTGCCTTCAAGTCTTGGGTAAACATGGCCAGCTTGGGCTGGTTCGGTTCGAGAGCTTGTGCAAACATCGTTGAGACTTGTTGGCAGCGTGATTTTGTATAAATTCTAGACTCGACTTCTTGTTGTGCTGCATGATTTGCAAAATGACTGCAATGCCGGCGACCGGGTCTTGAAGTCTTCGGTCTGGCCTGGCCTGGTCTGGGCAGGGACCATGGGGCTTAGTTTTGCCGTTTGTTAGTAATAATTTGTTACTTGTAACGAGCTCCGACTCGCACGCTTGTTAACAATTAAATAAACAATATGAGTCGCATTTTTAGCTCGAGAAACAACAAATCACTAAATAAACATGCCATATGCCCCGGACGAGCGAGTGGCGATCGGGGCCAAGACAAATACAAACATATTTAGCTACCACTTTCCATGGACCTCGACTGGACGTCGTCCACTTGAGACATTTTCTCTCTACCTCCCTCTCTCTCTCTCTCTTTCTCGCACTCTCTCTATTAAACGCAATATTTATGCATTTTCTGTTTAGCTGCGAAAGAGGCACGTCGAGGCACGTTTGTTATTATTTCCAAGCCATTTCCCTTGAACACATGTAGAGAACTGCGCGTACTTATTAGTTGGCTAAGGTTCGTAGGCAATCATCGTAGGGCGAACCAATCCAAATGGGTGACTTCTATGCCACTTGATACTCCAGCAACAACAACAACAACGACAACATGAACGGCAACGGTAACCATAATAAGGGCGTGTTGTTGTTCTTTTTAGGGCATCCCAAACAAATGTTTTCATACCTTGGATCCACTATACTATAAAAGTTGAAGTGGACTTGTTTTTCCTTTTACCCATGCTGCTTGACATGTTTCTTTGGACTTGTCGTCCATTTTGGTCACGTATTTAAATGGGGCGCAGTACATGCGTGTGTACACATGTACAATATTTATGTAGGCGAGTGCGCATATGTATTGTAAGCCTTTAGTTGGAATTGAACGGTCTGCACTTAATTGATTTTCACTAATCGAATGCAAGTTCAATTTGTACACAACTGACCGAATTAATGATAAGATCTCGATTATTGCTCATCTCTAGAAGCAATCGGTTATCGAGATCGCTTTTGCCGCGCCGTTATGCAACACTGTGAAGGAACGCTGTACTATTTGCTTCGCCCACATTTGCATATTGTGTTTCAACAATGTACAACACTTGGCATTTTCCCATTTTGGCAGCGTTATTTACTTAATTATTTTGAAGTGCTTGGCAAACAGTTTTACACGAAAAATGTTTCAGGCAGCAGCAACAGCAGCAACAATGAAGCCCTTTCCCCCCCCCCCCCCCCCCCCCCTCCCCCCCCAAAAAGCACTTGAGCGACGCGCCGACTAAGGGGAAACTCGTTGCTGGGGGTTGACATGCAGCACAAAATGTTATTAATTAAAACGTCATTCATTTAAAAAACAATAAGGGCAACAACATTGTCGGACAAAAAGGACTTGTAGACAACTATTGGCAGCTGCTGTTGACAGTTTTGCTCTGTTGCCTTTAAAGCTTTTGCAGCGGACCACACGCATCTGCCGGCTGCTGAAGCTGCAGGAGCTGCCCACAAAAGCCACAAATATGTATGTCATTTGACACTTACCACTTGCCACTTGCCACTTGTACTTGCGTATCTCTTGGCTCTAAGTTTAAGCGCCCTTCACTTTTGGCCAGCTGTCAATTTTCGCCCGAGTTCTCACACAGCATCTTTTTCTGTTGCGTCAAGACCACAGAATGTTGGCATCGACATCGATATCCAGAGTTGACACAGTTTCCACAGTTGCCGCACGTCAGGTGGCAACGCTGGTCACGCAACGTTGCCCCGAACTCCAACTGGCAGCTGGCAGTTGTGCGTGTGTCATCAAGTGAGCAATTGTCTTGAATTAATTTCTGCTTCATCACACAGCAGCACGCAGCAGCAACCCTTTGCCGCTTGCCCCTTGAATTTTCACACCCTCCTCCAGTTTTGCCCTGCCGAGCAAACACTTTGATTTGAGTGCATCAGCAGCTTCCACGGCTGGCGACCAGCAGACGCCGTCAAATTTAATAAAAATCACTGATTTTGATTGATGCGCCTCTTGGTCAGCACTTGCCCATTGGGTTCCAGTTGCAAGCCCAGCAGCGTCAGCAAATATTGGCGGAAGGGTTGACATGTGACATTTCGATGTCGCCCAAGTGTCGCTCCAATTGAAACAAATGAAGCGCAAAGCAACGAGGAGGGGCGCAAAACAACAGGAAAGAGCAGTTACAACTTGTCGACGGCTCATCAGCAGCTCAACAGCAACAATTTATTCCCATCTCTGCAACATTTAGTTGAAATTTAGTTCGTGAAATTTAGTCAAATTTTGGCTCTGCTTAGGTCTAGAGCTATTTCGATTTTGTGGAATAAAAAATACTTAAGCTGTCGGAAAGCTCGTCCTTCCATTAACTAATAACATGATCCCGGCTAATGCACCCACTCGCCGGGTCTTAAGTCAAGGACCATAGCTTTTCAAAAAGGATTTTGTAACCAAAACAAATTTAATTAATAATAATTATTTATTTATTTCCCCTTTCTAATTCATGCCCTTTCTCTTTTCATCATTACAGCTAGGCCACGCCGTTTGTCAAGCGTTGACAATTTGACGCTGTGCAGAAGGGAATCCTTGAAAAGAAAGTTCGGCTCACTCCAAACGCTTACAGGATTTAAGCGAATCGCGTGTGAAAGAGAGAGAAAGAGATAGCAAGAGAACGCAAAGTTGTAACTCGCACACATTGACAAAAGCTAACAGCTACGCACAACAATGAAACACATTTTAAGTCTGGCAACGCTGCTGCTGCTAACAGCCGTTGCCCGGGCGGACAGCCTACAGCACATGACGGACAACGGAGGAGGCGGCCACATGGGCATGGGCTCGCACTCGCACTCGATGGACGTGAGTCCGGCGCCCGGCTACGGTGTGCCGGTCATACCGAAGGATCCGAACTCACGCTGTGAGGAAATCACGACGCCCATGTGCCGCGGCATTGGCTACAATATGACATCGTTCCCCAACGAAATGAACCACGAGACGCAGGACGAGGCGGGCCTCGAGGTGCACCAGTTCTGGCCGCTGGTCGAGATCAAATGCTCGCCGGACCTTAAGTTCTTCCTCTGCAGCATGTACACGCCCATCTGCCTGGAGGAATACCACAAGCCTCTCCCAGTCTGCCGCAGTGTCTGTGAACGTGCGCGTTCCGGCTGTGCGCCCATCATGCAGCAGTACAGCTTCGAGTGGCCGGAGCGGATGGCCTGCGAGCACTTGCCGCTGCACGGCGATCCAGAGAACCTGTGCATGGAGCAACCATCCTACACGGAGGCGGGCAGCGGCACCGGAGGCGGAGGCGGCGGTGGCAGCGGCGGTTCCGGCAGCGGATCTGGCGGCAAGCGCAAGCAGGGCGGCGGCGGCGGTGGTGCCGGTGGCTCGTCGGCGACGGCGAACAAGTGCAAGGGCAAGAATTCAAAAAACTGCCAAAATCCCCTAGGAGAAAAGGCAAACGGAAAGGAGTGCACGTGCTCGTGCCGCTCGCCGCTGATCGTCCTGGGGAAGGAACAGCTCATGCAGCAGTCGCCCATGCTGCACCATCACTGGTACATGAATCTAACTGTGCAAAGGATCGCCGGCGTGCCAAACTGCGCCATACCCTGCAAGGGTCCGTTCTTCACCAACGACGAAAAGGACTTCGCCGGCCTGTGGATCGCCCTGTGGTCGGGCCTGTGCTTCTGCAGCACCCTCATGACCCTAACCACATTCATCATAGACACCGAAAGGTTTAAGTACCCGGAACGTCCCATTGTCTTTCTGTCCGCCTGCTACTTTATGGTCGCCGTCGGTTATCTGTCCCGCAACTTCCTCCAGAACGAGGAGATCGCCTGCGACGGACGCCTGCTGCGGGAGAGCTCGACGGGCCCGCACTCGTGCACTCTGGTCTTTCTGCTCACCTACTTCTTTGGCATGGCCTCGTCCATTTGGTGGGTCATCTTAAGCTTCACCTGGTTCCTGGCTGCCGGCCTCAAGTGGGGCAACGAGGCGATCACCAAGCATTCGCAGTACTTCCATTTGGCCGCCTGGCTAATACCCACGGTGCAATCGGTTGCCGTGCTCCTGCTCTCCGCCGTGGATGGCGATCCCATTCTGGGCATTTGCTATGTGGGCAATCTGAATCCGGATCATCTGAAGACCTTTGTGCTGGCACCGCTGTTCGTTTACCTCGTCATTGGCACCACCTTCCTCATGGCCGGATTTGTCTCGCTCTTCAGGATTCGCTCGGTGATCAAACAACAGGGCGGCGTTGGCGCCGGCGTCAAGGCAGACAAACTGGAGAAGCTCATGATACGCATCGGCATCTTCTCGGTGCTTTACACCGTGCCGGCGACAATTGTCATCGGATGTTATCTGTACGAAGCAGCCTACTTCGAGGATTGGATCAAGGCCTTGGCTTGCCCCTGTGCACAGGTTAAGGGACCCGGCAAGAAGCCGCTCTATTCCGTGCTAATGCTCAAGTATTTCATGGCTCTGGCCGTGGGCATCACGTCGGGCGTATGGATCTGGTCAGGCAAGACCCTGGAGAGCTGGCGGCGCTTCTGGCGACGACTGTTTGGTGCGCCCGATCGCACGGGCGCCAATCAGGCACTGATCAAACAAAGGCCGCCCATTCCGCATCCGTATGCGGGCTCCGGCATGGGCATGCCCGTTGGCTCGGCGGCGGGCTCTCTGCTGGCCACGCCCTACACACAGGCGGGCGGTGCCTCGGTGGCCTCTACGAGCCACCACCATTTGCACCACCACGTTCTCAAGCAGCCAGCGGCCAGCCATGTATGACATGGAGAGTCGGGAGGAGCTTCAACCATGGGTGGCGGCAGCGTGCTGGGTGGTCACGGCACACTGATGAGCACGGCGGGCATGAGCAATAGTACGGTTGGCGGCGGCGGTATGTCTGGCATGGGAGCTCCTCCTGGCAGCTTGTTACAAGGCGGTGGCGCCAACGGCGGCCCACCCGTCAATGTCTACGGCAATGTCAATGGTGGCGGCGGCGGTGGCGGTGGTGTTGGTGGTGGTGTTGGCGGCGGCGGTCAGAGCACAGCGCCTGGCTCCGTTATCGATTCGCGAGCCGTCTCTGTGGTGGTAACCCTGCCCGGCGGACCCGGCTCCCAGCATCCGGGGCAGGCGTTGAGCGACTACGGTCCCATATAGTTAATGGTACGCCCGGACACCGCGCACTGGGTCTCAACGAGCAGCTTTAGTCAGCTGTAAGAGTGCAGTTTCCCCTCTCACCGGACACTCTCTCTCTCTCTCTCACCCCCTCTCTCTTCCTCTCTTTCTCTCTCTCTCTCTGATTACCAATCTCTGCTTACCTGTCACACTTTCTCAGAGGTTAAAGAGCAATGCCATATTAATATTTGTAGCTGTAGTTTTTGTTTAGAGAAAGGCGCAATACAGATTTTAAACTATTTGCATAAGATTCTAGTCCGAAGACCCCTTAAAATATTGCCAGCAACAACGACGACAACAAAGACAAGAGCGAGCGAGGAGATCGAGAGTGGAAAAGGCTCTCGTGCAGCACGAGAAACCGGAGGCGCGTGTGTTCTGCAGCCATTGGAGCGGCTTTTCTTTGGTTCTTTCCATTAGTTTCTTCAACGAAATAGACTGAGAAAACGAAACGATAAGTAAATACCATTTAAAACATAGAAGAAATCCATACAAAAAGAGAGAGCAAAGCGAAAAGCATAACAACTCTGCCCCCACACACTGCCAAGTCAGAGCCACGAGCCATATTTCGAAATTACAAGTAACTTTTAATCAAACCAACTAAACTATTAACCTTAACCTTATATATACTACATTTATATATATATATATATAAAAACATACACATTTCGAATTCGCATTGAAAAAAGTGTGGACGTGCGTTTTTTGGGGCGCACAGTGTTGCAAAAGCATTTGTAAATTATTTAATCTAACTTAAGCCATTACCCAGCACTATTTTTTGTAAATATTTTCAAATTGCGCTTAGTTTGTAAACGTTTTTTTTTATAACTTAACATCCTTAACTATAAACCTAAAAAACAAAACAAAAATACATAAAAGTAATTTGCATTTTAGCGTCAAAGGCAGCGCTGCATTTAAGCTCAAAAACTGAATTTAATTTTTACAAAAACCTCCCCACAGTAAAACAAACAAATTAACGAAAAATAATTTAAAACAAAAAAAAAAGAAGCAAATAAACAAAATATGCCAACTTCTAATGCAGCCAAATGGAGGGCATTTTTGCATTTAAAGAGCAAAGAAAAATTGTAAAAAGTAAAAAAATTGATCTAAGTGTAATTGTTAGTTGTAAACGAAACCCAAACAAAATAAGCAAAATATCTTTCATGCATTAAAATCTATTGTATTTTTATTAAATATTTAATATTTGCATATATGCATTTATATAAATATATGAATGGAAAACCAACAATTTTGAAACCAATTTCACATACGAAACAAAAACAAAAATCATATAATTAAATATATTATAATATATATAGCAACTCTATATGTAATGTTTTAGTAACTATAACTATTTCTATAAACGGAAACAAATAAAAACCCGAAAAAATTCAACAATTGTAATAAAAGTTACGACAAAAAAAAACAAACAAAAAATATCTACAAACTTATGAGTTCTTGTTTTTGATTTATTTTGAGTTGTTGCGTAAAGTAAGTAGTTTTCATTTCAGCTTGGAACCTTCAATGAGGTTGTTTGCTTGATTTATTTATTTATTTGCACTTCTGTTGATATTTAGCATTTAGCATTTACAAGAAACCCTCTACACTTATACGTATCATAAAAACGAAGCTCTCCAAGTTAGGCGAACAAAAGAACAAAGAACGAAAACCAAAAAGTAAACATTAATTAGCAAATTTCTCTACATGACGTACAATGTTTAATATACTTACATACATATTGAAAACAAAAACAATAAAAAAAATCACAAATACAAAATACGCGTACTATTCGATGTTGTTAATAAGCTTAATAAACAAAATATAAAACAAAACGAAAAAAAAAGAATAAGATTAAGAACATTAGTAGTAGAACGTTTAGTTTGGAAATGGGAAATGTTTGAGATATCTGCAAAGAGATCTTAGCATTTCGGCATTTAAAATTTTAGTTTCGGGCGTAAATAGTTAACGCTTTTATTATAATGAATAAAACAAAAAATACACTATATATTAAAGGCTAAAAACTGTAACGAATATACGTAAACGATATGTCAAATGGCAAATGTAAAAAAAAAAAAACAAGAAAAAAAGGAAAAAAATAACGAAAAACATTTTACGTTGATTTTTTGTGATTGAAAATTAATTTTCTAAATTGATGAACATAAATTGATTGCAATTTGCGAATGTATACGATTTTTTAATTTTTTCCAATGAAAAATGAAAATTGAAAATTAAGATTAAAATAAACAAATATTTCTCATAATGGATTTGGGTTGAGATCGAAGAGCGTGGAAATAGCTGGGTGATTGATGGATTAGTTGAAGTTACACAGAAACCAGAAACTTGACGTCAAGTGTAGTTGTGAATTGTATTTTGTGAAATGTAATTTAAAAACATAAATAAATATTAAACGAAAACAAAACAAAAAACAGAAGACAAATTATATATACAATGCATATTTATATATATTTAACAAAACAAAAAAACAAAAACGCAATTAACGGCATTAAATACTTTAACAATACAAATAATGCAGATATTATTTTATTTACAAACAAACAAAACATTTTTTAAATCAAAAGAAATTGCAGTTAAATAACAAATCTAACCAAACAAAACAAAGCGTTGTAAATTGTGCAACGATTTTGATGCACGTCTAAAATGTCACTAAAATTCGTTAAGTACAGCAACAAAAACAACAATATAGCAAAAAGCAAATAACAAAAACAAAGTATACAAAAACAACCAACAATAGACGCAAATAATATTAAATACATTTGTAATTGACAAAAGGAAACCATTTAAAATAAAATCTAACATAAAAGTTCGATTTTCATCCTCTGCTGTGGGTTGAGGTTTTTTTCCCCCGCCGATTAATGGAATGGTCAATGGGCTATTAAAGGTGATAACGGTCGTACCTTCCATTTATTAGCAATGCTGAATAACATTTACTTCCAGTCCAGGACATTAGAAATACGATTGACACAAGAAATTGATTTTTTATGAACTCTAAGCGTATTCCATTTAATATTATAGAATTAGGTTCAAGTCTTGGTAATTTCTCGAATTTGAGATTTGTTCAGGCATTTACAAATCTTAAAACTTGAATAACTGGGGTATTTTTCGCCCGATATCGGAGAGATATACCTCTTTCGACTCGTACGGACCAGGACCTTCGATTCGCATTCAAAAATCCTGATTCCGAAAGATGTCCAAAATTGACCAAAGTGGCATCACGTTTTTGGCGAAAATGGGCCATGTCCTGGAATTGAAAACTTTTGATGCAGATCGATTCTAAGGACCTCTACGATTACAAAACGCCCAATCTTTCCGCGATCGGACGTCATTTAATCGAGTTAGGGCCATTTGAAGTTTTTGAAAAAATCGTAAATCAATTTATTAACTATAATTGCCCGTTGTGCTGAAAATATTGTATACCATTAATATTTTCATATACAAAACGCGGGCTACATTATTGGCATCTACCAAATATGGTTAGATATGCAAAATGGCTGGATCCAAAGTCATTTATACTTTGGTTTAAGTTAATTCTAATTTAAATGAAAAACATCAAGGATTTAAACGGATTCAACAGTTATATTTTTGGATATTTTACAAGCGTTTCATTGTAAACATAAATAGATTAAACTTATAGGATTATCCAATTGAATATTGTAATTGGATAACCCAGTGACTTTCTTATTTGTACGTAAACTCGTTTGGATATATTGTACACATGGAAGATCTCGATGCAAGCCGCATATATATACATATATATATATATATATATATATATATATATATATATATATAGCAAACAAATTCCCATGCTAGTATTACTTCTATTGTTCTGTCTTATATCACACACAGATGTTTGGTTGGTTTTGTTTTTTCTGTTTTCATAATAGCTCTAGTGTTTCGAATCAAAAATTATCTTTGAACTTAGCTAAATTTGCCAGCAGCGCGTCTCGTCATTGTAGGATTTGGAAAAAAAAAATGGATTCACTTAGGAGCTGGCAGTTGGATTATAGAAATTTCTCAGAGTACGTACGTTCGGGCTCATGCTTTGGCGAAAAAATGGAGGAAGTAAAATCAAAATACAACAAGCTTAACAACATTTGGAACTAAACTACAAGATATAAAAACAAAACACCTGCAAATACTATGGCGCATCAAACTATTTCATAATACTAGATAGGCTTGTGTAGCCGCTGTTGCCTTGGGTGGGCTCTGAGCGGCGTTTGCAGCAGCTGCAGCAGCAAACGCTTCTCACAATATCTAGAAAATTGGTCTGCTCAAAGTCATCCAGATTGTTCATGAATACACCAGAGCTAATATCCTCGGCGGTGCGAGTGCCCACAAACGCCTTGAGATCGGAGATGGGAAATCCATCCTTATAGTACTTCTTAATTGTATCGTATGCGTCCATAATAACAGCTATAAACAGTGATAGCACCACATAGATATATAATGAAATGAAAGAGTACAAATAAATCTGACAGAACCACCAAAGCCAGTTGGCCTTGTTGGAGAGGGTCGCAAACGTGGCAAACATGTCGTCGCCATTGATTAGCGAAAACAGGCACTCGGAGGTCGTTGCCAACGATCGGAACTTCATGTGATAGGGCCCCAATATGAGCCAGCCGCAGAATACGAAGCCCGCATAGATCAGCAGAGCGGCAATTAGAAACCGTAGAATTTTCGGTGCTGCTTTCTTGAGCGTCAGTATTACCACATTGTAGGTCTTGAAGAAGCCCAAATAGCGCAGCACACCAAACCACACCAGCATATTGCCAATGCCCAGAAATAGCGAGCAGGTATCCCACTGATCCACAACCATATAACGGCCTTCAATTTGTTCCTTCAGTGCTGAACCAATGATAAGCAAAACATCATTAAAGATGATCATAATGTACCTACAAGATAAGCAAAACATTAATCAAATGAAATAGAATAGATGCCATGAATTTTACACACCAAAAGTTAATAAACTCCAGACGACCATCAAAGCTGAGTTCTTTGCCGAAATGTGAACGGAAGAAGTTCTTTGTGGTGCACTTCAGCAAATAGGCTCTCCAGAGAGCGCGAGTGCATAGGGCAAAGGACAGGGCGCAGGTCATTAACACAAAGATATTAAGAATACTTCTCAATATTGCATCGAAACGTGCTTCCGAAATGAAATCCGTGTCGCCCTTGCACTTCAATCGCGTCGCCTCCGCATCAAGGGATAACAGCACTTGGCCATCGTGATCCCGATTGTTAAACAGTATGGATACGTCGAACCTAAAGCAATCCGGAGCAGACAACGCACCGCCGTTGGCCTTAAAATTTACAGTTTTGATCTTAAACGTCAGCTCGGCTGTTACCAGCGATGCGAAATTGACATCCACTCCCTGATCGCTTAAATACTGCTGCACTCCAATGCTGGACACATTTGGCGGCAGCTTCTCGCACAGCTCATCGATATGCGGATCAAAGATATAGGATTCATTAAAACCGAAAATTGTGCCCTCACGATAGTTCTGCATGCACAGCGTCAACGGTGGCATAGTATTATTCGCCGTAGGATAATAGTAAGGTCCAATGGAACGACTCATATTGCCGTACCCGTCCACCGCAAACTGAACCGTATTGAAAAACTCGGTCTTCTCGTACAACGCAAAAGGTCCCACGGCGGGCGGATAGCTCTCAACTTCGCGCGACGAGTCCCAGCCCTTGAGAAACAGGTGCGAGAATGCGATGCGATTGTCCCAGGTATAGTTGATGTGATTATAGCGCGAGTGAGCGAACAGGCACAGCTGCATCGTCACCAGAACAATCTTCACTATCTAGAAACGATACAAATCAGGTAAACTAAGATTAATAATTCATTCAAAATAAGTAAAGCCACAAAATGACTCTGCAATTTGCGTTTATATATAAACATCAAGAAAATGTGCGGTTCATTTACAAAACATACACAAATCACCCAGCGTAAAATAGAGTATGTAAATAAGTATTCCTAATAAGGTCATTGAGCTAGGGCACTGTTTTTTTTTTTTTTTTGTCTATTTTTATATGGTAAACATAATCTAATTTCGCAAGACCAATAACAAACATTGAGCACAGCTATTTAAAACTTATTTTAATATAGCATATAATCCAGATTAAGGGCATTCAAGCGTCGGTGCTTCGAAGACAATTTTTCTCTCTTGTTATCTCTTTTGTAGTACATTACAGACGATGTGAGGCCCACGTTTCTATGTTATGCATATAAATGGGTACTTGAGCAATTGATTAGTTCGTTTACGTAAACCGAAATTAGCGTCAATTATTCGTGGAATTATCTCTGAGGCTTATTCTATTTGGGCGAGAGTGGTTCATATGTATATCTTGACAAGTTCAAATAATTGACTGTAAATGCTGTCTATAGATACGACAAATGTATCGTTCTATCTACGTCAGAATTGCATATCTTTATGAAATCTTTATTTGGCTTTGAACTTTTGCAACAACTATGCAGACCAACTATTAATCATGCCCACAAAAAGACACCCAAAAAAATCCCCAGTAGAGCTATGTATTTATCATGTGGTTAAGTAATTTCTTGAACAGTTCGCCATAAACACCCAAAAGTTTAAAAGCAAGTGTATTACGCAGTTTTTATAGTTAGACCGACCAGATAACGGAAAGGTAATGTGTGTGTAAACTTTGCTATTGTTTAAACAAAAGGTAGATAGCTGCAATGTTCAATATCTGCCCGATTTAAGTGCCTTGGAATTACACGCTGAACGTTAGACAAACATAGCATATTAATTAAAATCAATAGAGAAACACAACAGACTAATTTTGTGGCTATTGTCGGGAGATGTGTCATGCAAACAGACTCGATAGCTAAGCATTCGGCCCCTTTGCATGGGAATGGAAATTCGTATCACGTGACAAAGCACAACCAGATGAGCTGCTGGGAGATATGTTTATGTATTTGTGCATATGTGTGAGTCGACTTTACCTGCACCACAAATTTATAGGGAAACTTTCGTCGGGCCTGCCACTTTTCTATGGGATTCATGAAGAAAAATTGCAGTTTGCGTCGCATGCGCTCCTCGTTGTACGATGAGGCTGAGGATGTGGCCGCCGGAAACTCCGGCTGCTCCACATGACCCTGTGCTGTTGTTGGGGCTGTTGCTGTAGCTGATGTTGGTGCCACTGTCACTACAGGCGTCGACTGCAGCTCCATGCGTCGCCGCAAGATCCTGGTGTTTACGTACTCCTCATCGCTCTCGCAACGGGAGTTCTCGCCGCTGCTGGGCGTATGTGGATGGTTTTGTGCAGCCTCATAGCTGTCCGTACGGCGTTTGACCGTTGGAGCTGCTGCTGCTGCAGCTCCAACGCCGTAATTTTGCATTTCAATGTATTGCACTGGCTGCGTCTCGAGGTCGCAGGGCGTTGCGTTGTTGCCTCAGTGTAGAGATTTTCCTTTGCTGTGTTCGCTCCAACATGCAAAAGAAATTCCACACTAACGCAGCAGGCAAACGAAACTTGGGTGTATATATAGATTGTTTGAGGCGCGTTTGCGACGGCTTTTGGCGAAATGATAATAAATACTGCCAAAAATTATATATGTACGCGAATTGCTTTGTTTTCGTCAATGTTGTTATCGCCCCGATAGGTCGATATTTTGTAGCCAAACCAATCGATACTTTTAGGGCATTGAAGTAAAACGATACTCGTACTGTCAATTCTCTATAGTATTTCGCCCTATAAACAGTAATGGTATTCCAGTGATTGAAGAAATTTTGTCTCGTGAACAGCCAAATGATTTGGAAAATAGCACAAGTATTATTCAAAATAACACACTTAAAACGCATTTCCCGAATGTAGGCAAATTCAAACGATCAGCTGCTCGCATATGTATTCAGTTTACTCTAGCAACACCATTCGTATGTTATCGATAGGTCACAGTCACGACAAAGCGCTTTGTAGTTGAGCTCGTGTATAAATGTAACTACAAATGCTTTTCGAATATATGCACCAAATTAATCGTTATCGATTAACCACCACAAACGGGATATTTAAAACGAAAAATATTTGGTTGTTAAACCAAGTGATTCCGCCATTTAAATGGATTTTTATAATTCAACCATCATGGTAGAATAAAACTAAGAAAAAAGCTAATAGTGCCTGAATATCCTCGGAATAGGTATTTACACAAATAGATTCATTTGTGTTAGAGTTTACAAGATCATGGTATATATGCTATATCCATTTGAGCAACTTCAGCCAAGGAAGTCGAAATAATAAGTTTAAATGACATGCTTTATTTTGCTTAAATTAAAAATAAATAACCTTAATCTAAAATAAATATTACAACTAAGCAAGTAAATAAATAGATTACACATAAAGCTCAAACTTAAGCACATGATCCTTTACTCTTTATCGACACCTCTGAAAGAAGATAAAAGAAAATATTATATAAATAAGTTGGCTTAACGAGGTCTCAACGTGCTTACCAATGTTAAGGCAGGATGAATAACATTCTAGCTGTGATTCTCCCGTGTACATATATCCATCAGATCCACACACAATTTCATCGTTTTCATCATAGACATTTGCGCAAATTTTTTCACAATAAGCTTCGTTGTCCTTTGGAGGAGACTCGACTGGTTGTATTGGTACAGGCTCTTGCTCTTGGGGACGCTGGAATCCATCCAGAAAATGTGTATGCATATGTTAATTATAAATATCTTTATATCATGTATTTTTGTTATATATGTATGTATGAATGCATGCATGTTGGTATACATTTTTATTTATACCATACACAGACCAAGTTTACTTCTTGCTTTTCTACAAAAAAGGTATTTTTAGTACCGCCTTACTATGCGATTCTCATGAAATCAAGTAAGCCTTTAAAATGCATGCCAGTTAAGAAATTGCTTAGAAATCTCGTACTTTGTTTATGCATGTGCTTGTATATGTTTATCCGTTGATGTGTATATTTGTAAATTTGTATACATGTATATATACAATACAAATATACATATATATTATTTATATAATCAATATATATACATTTGTTATTTATTTATTTATTTTTATATGCAAAACAAATAAATATGTATATATTCACACTTTAAGTAGCGTGTAATTTAGTGAAAGTATACAGAAAATGAGTCCAACAAAAGTGGTTGATATTCGGTCAAAGTAAAAAAGATTTTGATCTTAATGTCGCTAAAATTTGATTGATATCAAATTGCCTAGGCAGTTAATAATATAGAAGAAAGTTAATCGACTGCCGACACTTATAATGGAGCGTTTGGAATTCGTTAATAGTGGAAAGTTGCTGAGTTCTTCGCACTGAGATGTTGTGCTCAAATGCTTATCTGATAAACCTGATGTCCGAAATAGCCGTTGAACTCTTTTATTGACTGGCGAGTTTTGACAAGAATGAAAGAAACCGATAGAGAAACATATTAATTTCTGCGCTTACCTTGTGAACATATTCATGGCTTTCCTTAGACTCGCCGACAACTTCCTTAACCGACTTTAGACCCTCGGAGATGCTGGGCGTCACGCTGACCGTGGGTACGTGAGGCGAGGATGTGTGTGTTTCATAGTAGAGCTTATGTCCTTGCGGCGCATTGGTATAGCTGGCCGATCCTCGGATGGCATCCCGTTCCGTAAACTCGAAGCGCAGGGGCTCCGGCGTTTCGGTCTTGTGGGCACTGTGCCAAACGTGAGAGTAGGTCGATGCTGGTGGCACCTGAGTTGTTCGAGGTGTCAACGAAGTGGACACAATATGCTTCACCGACTTGTTGCCATCCGACTTGACAACAAAGGCATTCTGCCCGGCCTGATAACTGCCGCGCACCACAGCCGAGTTGGCAGGAGCCGGATCCTGCTGATAAAACAGATCCGACACTCGCAAAGGCTTGTTAAAACTGGAGGACACACTGCTATCCAGGAGCTGTTGCTGCTGCTGCTGCTGCTGCTGTTGTAGATGTTGCTGCTGTTGTTGCAGATGTTGCTGCTGCTGCTGTTGTTGCAGATGTTGCTGCTGCTGCTGTTGCTGCTGCAGCAGCTTCTGTTGCTGATAGCTTATTTGGTCGCGATCGGCGTCCTGCTGCTTGTAGTTGGGCTCACGTTTGGGCAGGAAATAATCGTTGGTGCTCATAAAATGCAAATAGCTCTCGGCTTCTTTGGACAGCTTTTGCGGAGCTATTGCTGCACTCTGCTGATAGCTGCCACCAAATTGAGCCGCATTCTTGGCAGCTGAATCGGCATCCTCGTAGACAGCATAGCTATTTGCAGCTGGCGCTTGACCCAATTGATTGGCAGCTGGTTTGCCCGCTGAATCTCCATAGTTGGCCAAATATTTGGTGGACTCAACGGGTATTGCATATTGCTGAATCGGCGCATAGCCCGGAAACTTGGTCTGCTCGTTGTAATGCGGCGAGGCCTTGAAATTCTGCGTGTACTGATTGGCCTGGTAGTTGTACTGAGCTGCTTCCTTGGGCCGATAAAACTGGCTCTTGCCCACATCCAGCACGGGAGCCGCATCCTTGGAGTGGGCAAATCTTGTGGCCGAATTGCCTCCATTATAGGGCCAATTGCCATTGAACTCGCGACGCATCAGCTGCTGTCCCGCCAGCACCGGAGGCGGCAGCGGGGGCCGCCAGGCTGGGGGCGGGTGCAGGCTGTCGGCACCTGTCCGCACACGTGTTATTTGCACAGGACCTGCTCGTCGATGGGGATTGAATTTTGGCTGGGGCTCCCTTAGGAACTGCATTAGACGCGCGCTGCGGGACGCGGCGTTGAGCTCGAGTGTCACATCGTGCTGTTTGCTTTCCACTCGAATTAGCTGCAAGCAGCCCAGGAGAACTATCACATTGACAATGGCTGACATGGAGATGCTTCTACTACTATGCCACACAGTTGGCGCTTGTCTGTACGAAAAGTCGAGCATCGAAAATGTGGCGCGGCGCGTTCGTCTTACTGCTGCGGCTGTCGATCAGCATTTAATTCTGCAGTCGGTTCTTCTTCAACTTTTACTTTACTTTTACTCGAAATAAACAAATTCCAATTTTCTTAAATTTAACACACACACTCACACACACGAGCTTCTTTTGTTCCGAACTGGTTGTGCGTCAGATTGATCTCTCTATTGCGGTATCTATCGGCGTCTGAAGGCGATCCGCGATTGAAGAGCTGCGTCGTCTCTGGGTCAAATGCTGCGACTAACTGCAGAACAAAGCCGCGGAGCATGCAAGGAAACCGGATTGTTCACTTTACCAAAATGAATGCATTCGAAGCAGCAGCCTCTTCTAATATATTCGTTTCTCTTTTGCTTTGTATCTTCAGCGGAAAGACAATCAAGTTACCTTCTCCGCCAAACTTCTCAGATTCAAGTTCATTACATCCTAGCCCCACAGGCGAAACGGGTATATCCAATTTGTTGCCCAAGCATGGAACAGGAAAGCAACAACTTTTACCCAAATTACAATCCCCCATGTAAATGCACGGTATTCAAAAGTCATCAGCATTTAACTATGGTATCTATTCTGGTTTCATCTCTCGGCGAGTCTCGCATCTGTGTCTTCAAACCAGTTTCGAGGTTTCTCTCAACAAGCATAACAATAATACTGTCTTCTAGATAATTGAATAATTGCCATTAACGAAATTATATTTACGACTGTCTAAATTTAGCCAATTTACAGGGTATCTACTAGTCGATAACTGTTTGCTTCTGAGCGAATTAAGCAGGAATTTTTGAAGCTTTAAGCAAAATAAAAGCTATTTTAATGCCCATACAGTCCAATTATAATAAAACTTTCACTACGGTATTTTTTTGGTTTTGATTTTGATTCCATTTATTGTTATTCAAATAATGCAACACAGTTAACCGTAAATAATGTTTCATGAAAAAATACTGTTATGCTCAAGAAACAAATAAATGCACTGATAACAAATTTTGTCGCATCGACTTTCTGAGATGATATATTAAAGTTTTAGCCCATAATTATAGCAAAGCTCCAGCAATTATTTCTGAAAATAAACATGCTATAGGAAATAGAAAATGTCTATTTTCGGACATTCGCTGGCTCGGTTTTATTTGTATATATTTTGAGTAATTATAGTTAATTAGATATAATATTATATTAAAAACATAAATACATTGAGAGGCCATAAATTCACGTTTCCTGCTTCTTGGCCCCAGTTTCTTCTGGTATGTTTCGGTTCACATCTCTTTGGGGCGAGTTGTTACCAAGAACAATAACAATTTTTGTTGTTGTGTTTAGTAAAGAACAGTCCGGCATTCCGTTCTAAAAGAAAAATAAGTAAATAATAAATAATATTGCTTAAGGTCTCATAAAATGGATCCTCACAGCAGATACCCGGCTATAGCGAGTGCTGCCACGCAGATTGGGAGTAGCTGTGCTGCCCCTTCGAAAACTGGATTCATCCCTAATGAAACTGGATTGATCTCTGGCAAATCCGCTGTTGTAATAGGCCCCAACCTTTTTGCCACAGAGTATCTCCTTGAAGGCAACCCGATAGCGCTGTGACATGACATTGTACACAATCGGATTAATTGTGCTGGTGAGAAACAATGAGAAAATTATTAAACTTAGGTTATAATTAGTTTAAAATAGCTGCAAGTCCTCACCAGGAAACATAGTACGCGAATCCCGCTATGGAGAAAAGCCATTCATTTACATCCTGATAATTGGCTATGTTTTTGGCGTACAGAAACCACAATCTTTGCAGGTGAAATGGAAACCAGCAGACGAAAAATGTGATTACCACGGCGGCTATTCAGAGTTAAAAATTTTAAGTAATATAAATTTAGAAATAGGAATGTGCATTCCTTACCCAACATTCGTATAACAGCTCTCTTTTTCTTCTGTGAGCTTCGCGATTCGCGATTCCTGGAACCCTGCTGAACTCCTGCAAGAGAATTGTATACTCCCGAACTCTTTGCAGCTTGAAATTGGGCTAGGCTTACCCAATTTGTCGGTGGCTCTGGATCGGATCTGAGCGCCCATGCGACCATATAACAGTATAATGAGTATCATGGGAATAATGAAGAATATGCAAAAGGAGACTTCGAACAAGGGGAATTCTTCGGGAAACTCCAATTCGATTGAACAGAATGCGGATTCCAGTATTCGAGATCCATCTGTAAGTGTTCAGCAATCGTTAAGGATTCCAATTTACAATGAACTCAAAACCATACCGATTGGAAAATTCAAATATTGAATTTCAGTCTTGACACCGAATGGTATGGCACTTAGGAAACTTACAATCCAAAGGGCCGTAATGATTCTCAGTGCCCGCTGGAAGCCGGACATTGCACACACGTGCAAGGGATGGCATATGGCCAGAAATCGCTCCATCGAGAAGGCAACAATTGTGAACACCGATACATATGTGCACCTGTTGTATTGTGCTCTAATTAAGATTTTACCTGCGCCAAGAGCAACATACTTACGCTTCCGACACAAATGCTCGCAACTTGCAAAACGGCAGACCAAATAAATACGGATACTGATGCCAGTAAAGGAATACTTCAGCCGGCAATCCTAATGTCATCAACAAAATCAATATTAAATGTAGCTAGATAATTGTTGAGCTTACCAACCTAAAAGTAAGTACAGCAAATCGGAGACAGCCAAACTGAACAGGTAATAATTCGTTGCCGTGTGCATTGCCGCATGCCGAATTATTACCATGCAGACCAAGACGTTTCCCAGCACGCCAGTTATGAATATGCCACTAAAAATTATGCTTATCTATAAATAGTTTATAAGTTTGTATGTTCATCTACTGCATTTATCTAAACTCACCAATAAGGCCTTATGCAGCGGCAGGGTTTGTGGGCCGAGCACGAACTGAACAAACTCCATTGCCGTACAATTCATGTGAGGGCATCCATAGTCGTCCATGCCAGGAAAAGGCGATGCGGTCGCATCCGAAGTGGCCAAATATGTACTCAGATTCGTATCCATGCTCATATTCATGCTCATATTCGTACTCACATTCATATTCATATTCATATTCATTACCATCCATTCATTATCTCAGATGGGTAAAATCCAAATAAATGATTTAGTAACATTTTAACTCTATAAAGACTTAATTAAAATAAGTGAAAGCAAGATCAAATAAGAGCCACATGCCTAAAATTTTTAAAGTTTAAAGTTTTTCATGTATTTTGCTTTATGAATTGTTCAGTTGATATGCCTTAAAACTAAGTCAGATTTGATCTATTAAAGAAGCAGCTAGTATATAAAATATCTGTTCGATTCATCCGACATTTATACGAAGTCTGACCCAGTAACCTATTTAGGCTCAGAGCATATCCACAGGAATATAAAGATTGCCCTCCGCTAGTAAACAAGTCGAAAAATATTCAAATAATAATTTGAAAACATATACTTTTCATATTCAGCTGTTCTTGGAGAAACTATGCGATTGGATTACCGACTAAATGAAATTGCGAATAAAAATGGCAAAAACGGAAAAAATACGCCGTCGGGTTCGGTTGCAAGCACGTAAAACCGCAATTCTTAACTGAATCTCTTAGATGACCGCAGATTACTGTTCGCACAAAATCATATCGAGATAAGAATGAACGGTTTGCAAATATGTACTTTTCTTCTTATTATGCGCCAAGGTGGGTAATTAATCTTTCAAAGTAAACTACATACCTACCCACACACATAGGCACACGAGACGGGACAAAAGAAACGTGATTCAAATTAATTAAAGAGAAAATGAATTTATTTATGCTACTTTAAAACAATCGACTTATTAGGTTTACAAAACGATTATAAAATGGTGTGTCTTAATACGCATGCACAGAAATGCTTACGCTTTAAGTTAAACGTGCAAATATATGAGTAGAAAAGTAAACAATATAATTGATTAGATAAAATTCATCTTAACCAAATAGCAGCAAAAAGATAAATTTAGCAACGCCGACATCTCGCGACTCATAATGCAAATCAGTTCATATATGCAAAGGTAATACCGGTAAGATCCAAGTAGTTACAGGAAACTGGAAAACTTTATTGTTGCAACACTTAAGCTGTATATCATTGGGGAAATAGAATAAAGTCTTATACTTATTTTTCAATTTTTATAATACACATATGAGTTAAGTAAAGCAGGCGTATATTAAGATAAATCGATTTTTTTAAGTTTCCTTAAACATACAAAAAAGCTTTGAGTAGCAATAAGCCAGTCCGAAATTCAGATTTAACAGTTTATTTGCCAAGTAACTAATATCGCATTAAAAATATCGATAGCTATCGTATTAATGTGACTTACTTACTTATGAGAAATATCAGTAAGCCCACTATCGTTCATCTCTAACTAGTGCTACTCTTGTGTAACAAATAGAACAAAAATTAGTCCAAAAGTATTTGCTGAAACAAAATAATATAAAAGCCATGCAAATACGCAAGTGTGAATAGTGAGTTAAAACCAAGCGACAACAAACAAGGCAGCTCAAATATTAGCATAAACAAAATGAAAAAACACTTATACAAAGACAAGTAAAAATTATCGATAAATGACATTTGTTGGTGCGGGGACGGCTACATATGTGGCGGTATATTTTGTAAATTTGTTGTGAAATTTAATGAATGTGCCACTATATTTATGTATTTTGCACAATTATTCTTCGCATATTGTACAGTGCTACCGAGCTCTACAAGTATGAGCATGGCACAGACATCTAATCCGAGATTTCTATGCAACTAGCTTTGGTGGTTTTCCACGTCTATGACATCATAATTAGTGCGACTCGAGTAATTTTGATGTTGTGAAAACTAGCAAGATAAACAGTGCAATTTGATAGTGCACAAGGATATTAATTGTACAACTACTCAATTTGACATATGTCTGCACGTACTCATGCACTTAAATATTTATTTGCATGTGTAGGTGAGTACACCATCAAGTACTCACGTATAAACGTGTGTCACTGAGCGATCGGATAAAAAAAGAAATAAAAGAAACAGAAGTCAGCAGAAGTAGGCGTAGTTTGGTGCAATTGGGATTTATGACTCATAATTAAGATACACCCCAAGAAACAAAAACCGACGGCTGGGCTGCATGACGGCTGTTTTGCAATCAAACAGCACAAAGTACATACATATGTTCAGACACAGGCACATACAAACAGTGCATAGATATGTATGAGCTATGTATTTATATAAATGTATGTAGACATATGTATACCGTTTACATACATACGTATGTATGTTATTAGAGCACAGGCGCAGTGAAATATCAATAGTAATAAAAAACGTTCGATGCATAACATAACAAAAATGCACAACTTGAATAAACAATGTTTTCTTGCATTGGAATTGAGCCTGTAACGAGAGTAAAATCGATTATTAATCGGCTTTTGTTATTGCTGAAACAAAAAATAATCAATTATCCACAATAAGGCTATTTTACATACGAATTGCATGCATATAGGTACGTGTTCAAGTTTTGTGTTTTTTATTGTGCAGATTCCACCTGGCCATTGGTTGTTGAAAATTGTACAAAATTGGACAAACCCTTTGCGACTTTGTACGACATAGAGAGGTCGTACCCACAAACAGTATTCGGAAGGAAAGCACCATCAGCGAAGATGGTACTACTTCCAGTACCACGCAACCTCAAAGGTGAGAGCTCCTGCTGCAAAACAATGTAGCATAGACATCATGAAGTGACAGATTCTTTGAACAATATTACAACAAATGCGCATACTTGATTAAAAATGGTTGATGCATAGTTCTATTATTGGTGCTGTATATATAAAAAATCGAAATCATTAACATATGAGCACAAATTGGATTAATTGGATTATCTCTCTTTGCAGAAATAACTCAGATATTTCTGGTGAGGAACAAACTGTGCAAGAAGCTAAAATCCAAAAACCGGGACAGTGTGCTTCTAATAAAACTGCCTCCCCAAGGAAAATCATTAGCCCGACTTGTAGATTAAAAAACACAGCACTGAAGAGCAAATATCGTCGCAAACAGGAATCAGCTCCTGTTCACATTAGTAGCACCAACACCGACACTCAGTTTCAGTTACATCAAACAGCAGCACCCGCAGTGGAACCCAGCGCAGCCTCACCATTATCTCATAGTAAGAACAATATTTGGAGTCGGTTACTGCGTCAGTTCTCAACTAGCGCCTTAGCTGGCAGGTCAGCATTCAACAGTAGGAGCTCAAGGGTGGAAGACGAAAACGAATTAACGAATATTAGCTGCAATAAGGACGGGACCGTGACAGAAACCCAATTGTCCGTCGTTGAAGGACTTGGCCCGGAGGCAACGGATACTGCCGTTGCGGAACATAATGAGGAAACAATGGATGGTGAAGCCCAGCCGTCAGATGCAGTCAATAGCCCCAATTCTGGAGGCGCTGGTGTAGGGTCCACGGATAAAAGCAAAGACAAAGACATGCCAGCGAAGGCTGTTGTGTCCCCGTCCCCGTCCCTAGCTGCTGAGGCCAAACAAAAAAGGATGGAAAATAGAAAATCGTCGTCTGATACGGGGCTAGAGCCTGTGCTCAAGCAGCACGTCGGGACTGGGCCTCAATCAATGACCGGCCCAATACCTTTTAAGGCGCCACACAGCAAGGGAAGTAAAGCGGGCAAGGGGACAGACAACTATGTGCAGACTATACGCTTTGTGCGCAAAAACGTCGAACAATCCAACAGAAATGCAAACCCCTTACAGTTTGAGGAGCTGGAAACGGAGTTTCCTCGCGATTATGATGACAACATTGAGATGTTGTCGCGGGAAGCGGAGCATTTGGAGGAGCAATTTCGCACGCCGACCCGATCGAATACCACAGATGCAGCTAATCATCAAGTAGCCGGCATTATTGAGAACATCATTACCGAAGCGTCGCGCAATGTTAAGATCGAAAAGACTCAAATTGATGTGCCATCCAAACCTGCCAATAAACAGACGACTGGTGTAAAGCGCGTTGGCTTCCAAGTTGAGGAAAAGCACGATAGCGAGGCGCTTCTTGGTGAAAGACAGCCAAAGGTTTTCGAGGATTTGTCCAAACAATCTGAACGAGGGGAAGGCGTTTCCGGAGACGCAACCGTTGCTGGTACTGAAACATCGGTGTCGTTGCAGCCATCATCAGCGCATACCGCATCAGCTACCTCATCGGTCACGTCCCTAACGAAAGAGCGCAAGAGTGATGAGGACGATGATCCGGTTGCGATGTCACCATGTGGACGCTTCTTTAAATACGACAAAGAAGTCGGTCGTGGTTCCTTTAAAACTGTCTATCGCGGCCTAGACACACTTACCGGTGTGCCGGTTGCCTGGTGCGAATTGTTGGTAAGTTCATATTTTATTCGATTTTTAATTTTACTTTTCTAAATGTCTTTTTAATTGCAGGATAAACAAGTGAAGAAGAGTGAACGCACTAGATTCCGGGAAGAGGCGGATATGTTGAAGAAATTGCAGCATCCAAACATTGTGCGATTCTATACATATTGGGAGTTTCCAATTGGACGCAAAAAAAACATAGTACTAGTCACCGAGTTAATGTTATCTGGTACTTTAAAGTCGTAAGTGGGATAATGAATCAATTGAGATATTTGTCCTTATTGACCGAATTTATTTGAAGGTATTTAAAACGATTCAAAAAAATACACCCAAAGGTATTGAAGTCATGGTGTCGTCAGATCTTAAAAGGTCTCAACTTCCTGCATACTCGTCAATTTCCTATAATTCATCGTGATTTGAAATGTGATAATATTTTTATAACTGGCACCACTGGTAGTGTTAAAATCGGTGACTTGGGACTGGCAACTTTAAAGAATCGGTCCCATGCTAAATCTGTGATTGGTACACCTGAATTTATGGCACCCGAGATGTACGAGGAGCACTATGATGAATCAGTTGACGTGTATGCCTTTGGCATGTGCATGTTGGAAATGGCCATATCCGAATATCCTTACAGCGAGTGCAAAGGCCCCGCCCAGATATACAAGAAGGTGATATCCGGTATAAAACCAGCAGCCCTCTCAAAGGTAGAGGATCCCAATGTGCGCGATATCATTGAGCGCTGTATTGAGCTGAAAAAAGAGGATCGTCCCAGATGCAACGAGCTGCTGGAGTCTGAATTTTTTGATGAGGACATTGGGATACGTGTGGAACCCGCCGCCTCGGAACAGTTCCTCTCAGATCCCAGCATCAGCATCATTGAGTTTCGTCTGCGATTTATGGACCCAAAGAAGCGCTCATCTCGCCACAAAGAAAACGAAGCCATTCAGTTCGAGTACAACATACAGCACGATGAGTATGAGCAAATTGCCCAGGACATGATGAAAGAGAATATCATTTCGGAGGATGATTCTCGTGCTGTTGCGCGCCTTCTAAAGGTGCAGGTGGTGTCGCTGCTTAAGGAACGTGCTCAGCGCCAAACACAAATTAAGCTACAGAACGAAAAGTCACGTTTGGAAAAGCTGGCCCTGCAAAAGCAACGCGAAAGTCTGCCAACCAACGTTGAAGAGGAGGACGACGAAGATGAGGAGTC